AGTGCTGTGGTCACTGGGGGAAACAATCAACAGCCCTACCCACACCCCAAATCCATGGCATCACGAATCTTATCTGGGACCAGGACCTGGGATTTTTGAATGCTTGCATGTCATTTCAGTTTATAGCCAGAGTTGAAGACATTTGCTCAACATGTGCACACATATATATACATACATATACACACATGCACATACGTTCATACACACAAAACCACACGTATACAATGTGCACATGCATGCATGAATACAAGCACACCTATTCACACGCATACACACATACATACACATGCATGCGCACACACACACATACCCCACAAAGAGGCAGGCATACAGCGCAGCAGTTAGAATGACATTTGTGATACCCACATCCCATATCAGGGCACCCACATCTACTCCATTCCTCACACCAGCTTCCTGCTAGTGGGCATCCCAAATCACAGTGGTTGATGATCTATGCAGTTGAGTTCCTGCCATCTGTGAGTGAAACCTCAACCAAGTTCCAGAATCTTGGCTTCAGCCTGGGGCAGCCCCGGCTGTTATCACCATGTGGGGAATTAACCCATGCATAGGAGATCTTTGTATTTGTCTATGATTTTTCTCTCTTCTCTGCGTGCATCTGTCTTTCAAATAAGATGAAAACAAACAAAAGCCTGGAATATCTCTAAATGCCTTGTTTTCCACTTTGGGATAAGAATCTAGAGACAGAAACAATAACATATTAGCTGACTTTATACATGCCTTATAGCTTTTTAAGCCCATACAGGAAGGTTTTGGGTGGCTGTGCCTTATTGTTATTCTCCGTTATTTCTTTCTCTCTGTTCAACCACAACATATTCTTCTGTTTAAGAACCAGTCAGTTATATTATGCACCAAAAACAACTGGAATTTTCCAGCGACCTTCTTCATTCCAAGCTCTTGCTGCCAGAATGCAACAGAGTGCCCAGCGTGTGGGTGCCCCCCTTGGAGCCCCTTTGGAATGAACCTTCTCTGAGTAGTGATTTATTTTACAGCAACAAGATTTGTAACACTTCTTAATGCAGCTCAAAGCATAAGATTAATGATCTAGCAAAGACGGTCAACCTGTAACTAACATAGCAGGAAGGAACAAAACGGACTAAAATTTTTAGCGAGAAATGCATACATGGACTGAATAATGATTTCATAGTATTTGTGTCATACACAGCTGCTACATATTACAGTACAGTGCTGATTTAGAACTTGCTGGAAGGCTTAGTGTTTATGCCACAGGTTCCATGTAGGAGAGAGCTGATGCTTTTGCCTAAGAGGCTGACTAAACACAAAATCAAAAAACACAGGAAAAAAAATATTGAATAACTGAGCAGAAAAAAAGCAAGTTAATGAAGTTGAAATATGAGGGCACAAAGTCTGTAAGGCACACTGACATCAGAGAAGCCCATAGAGATGAATAACAGTGAGCTGGCTCCTGAATCAGATCAGTTAGATTACTGCACAGTGGCTGAACAGAAATTGTTCCTTGTCTTTGAGCTGTGTGCTGCTCGGGTCACTGACCACACTGGCTGTGATTTAAAGAGCACAAGCCAGAGAGCCCTTCCTTATGGCTGAAGCCACAGAATAACAAGCAGAAGACACTTTAGAGGTTTCCACTAATTCAGCAACTGAAAGCACACATTATATAAGCAAACAACTTACTATTTGGGTTCAATGCTTTACTGAAGAGTAGCCATGGGTTATAAGGATTCCTGCTCTTCTCTCCTGCTTCCAGTGCCAGGAAGGTCTGAGCCTCAAATCTTGCCTCTGACCTTTGTACTTGGGGTTCCCCTGCTCAGATTCTGTCCTAAAGATGAACATGGAACACTCTATTTCCTTCCCTTTTTGCCTAACTGCATATCCTTAAAAGAATCATTACTTTTTTTTTTTTTTTACCAAATTAGAGGAGATAAGGGGACGGGTGGAGGGGGATGGGAAGAGAAAGAGAGAGAGACATCTTCGATGCACTGGTCACTGGTTCACTGCCCAAATGGCCAGAACAGCCGGGGCTGGGGCAGGTCAAAGCAGGAGGTCCATTCAGGTCTCCCACATAAGTGACAGAAGCCCCAGTACTTGCAAACATCTTTTGTCACTTTCCTCATGCATTAGTAGGGAGTCAGACTGGAAGTGGAACAGCCAAAACTTCAACAAGTAGTGATGTAGGATGCCAGTATTGCAGGTGGCAGCTTAACCCATTGTGCCACAATGTTATCTTCTCTGTGTGTCCTTCCCAGACATCTCAACTATAGCTTCAACAGATTCTTCACATCCACACAACTATGAATATACCAAATGAACTCACTCACTCTCTCACACGCACACATACACCCTTTCCCTCTGGCACTTATCACTGTTAGAACACTATATATTTCACTTATTCATCTTGTTTCTTGTCTGTCTTCACCCTCTCCCATTGATGTATAACTTCCAGGAAAGCCAAGATTTCTGCCTGGATGGTTTACTGGCACATTCCCCAGTACCTACCATGGCAGTGGGCACATCTCCAACAGGAGTGGCTCAAAGTTGTTGGATGTACAAATGAACCTTGCACTACCTCAAGAACATTTGTGTTCCCATATCCATGAATCATCACCTAAAGATCTTTACTTATTGCGATAATGCAGATATAAATCTAACTATTTAACTTCAAAATGACATTGAGAGCTTCCTGTAAGGTAATTACTGATTCACATAAGCTATACATGGTGCATGCCTCTACACAAACATAATCGGGCATATCTATTCTAACTTACTTATTTGACGTGGAGGAGCTAGAAAAAAGCAGGAGTGAAATGAGATAGGCAGCTCCCATCTAATAGTTCAGTCCTCAAATGCTGTGCCTGGTCAAAACTAGGCATGAGGACACAACTCAGCTCTTGTACAAGGGTAGAAGGGCACAACGGCCCGAGTCATTGCCACTGCTTCTCCCAGCAGGTGCAATACCAGGCAACTAGAGTCAGAAGCTGGAACTAGACCCTGAACACAGGCACTGCACTGGGCCACGTGGCTGCTGCTAACCAGCTGAATTTAAATCTGCCACTTGGACAAGGTATCTGCACTCTACCAACAGGGCGCTTAGCTGATGGTTAAGACGACACCTTCCAAACGCCGAACCGTCTTTTCTCAGGGGCTCAAAAACAGAGCAACAAGTTTTAAAGGTGGAGTAAAAGCTATACTTTTCCATGAGAACAGCACTTGCTTTATTTTCTCTTTCAATGGATAACAAAAAGGCATCCTAAACCTTTACACTTAAGGTGCTGTTTCCAAGTAGGCCAAATCAAAGAATTCAAATGAAGGATCATGTTCACCTTTAAGGAACCATGTTTAATTGATTTACATGTATAGCTTCCTAGAAATCAACTAAGACTCTGTAGAGGCTTGGCACCCAGCTGGAACCAGCTCTGGTGAAATGAATGTTTTGTTTCTGTAACACTGCAGCTTGCACTCCATGGAAGTTTACAGCCACAGACACTCACCTTAGAAAGTTAAAGGTTCATGATGGTACAAGAAAGACAACAGAGCTGGGTGGGTTTAGGACAAGGAATAACTCAGCTTACAACAATAAATGACTACAACATAATAGCTGTTGAACTTCTCTCATTGATTTGCCCTAGAAAACAGTGTTCACTCCACATGTAACTTGGTGGAGGCTCTGTGTTTCTTGCATTCAAAAGAAAGACTTTTTGCCACTCAAGAGGTCTGGGAAGCAAGGCAAAACCTGAGGACAGAGGCAAAAACTGTAAACCATTAACTACAAAAGAGCAAATGTTAATATCTAGGTGAACAGAAAGAGGAAACTGCTTAAAATACTTTTAATATTTTAACTACATAAACCTGATTTTCTGTATCCATCATCCTGTTACTGGTACTTAACTGAGCTGATATAGACTACTCAAAGGCAAAAGATTAAGGCAGAGAGCAACAGCTCTTCCTCATTTTGATCTCAATCTTCTTCATTTTGCCCCTCTTAAAGCACAGCAGATCCAAGAAAAAAGTGATTACTAATAGTGCAGCTATCATTAAGTTCTTCTGCCCTTTGAAAATAGTGCCAGACACCTTTGACACTTCCCGGCAAGGCATCATAGTTAGCATTCTATGGAAGACAGCAGACTGTCAACAGTAGACTCAGTGAAATCAGGGCACTGTGGAGAACAGGAAGGACTTACACAAAATGTCTCCGTTTTCCCCTTCAGGGGTCAGGATAATAACCCTGATAGTCAAGGGAATTCACTATTTTGCAGAAACAGAAGTTCTAAGCCCCGTAGTCAGTCAGTGATCACGTGTGCTTCTCTTAGTGTCACGTGTTTCCGGCAGACATGTGAGTTACAAATGCAGAAAAGCTCTCTATTTCCACCAGGTTTGGGTTTCTTTCACCTGGTGAAATGCAGCTTTTCTGCCAAGGCAGCTCTTGGATCTAGCAAAGGAGTCAGAAACACAAAGCAGGTACCATTTTATTTAGGATGTGGCTAATTAAATATTCACCCAACAGTCTCCTACCTGGGGTGAGGGGTGGGGCGCTTACAGATTCTCTGGTCCAAGGCATGTTTCCTTAGAGAGGGATGAGCTTTCTAAAGAAGCAGGCTCAGGGGCATCTGGGCTATCCCAAGTCAACCTTGACCAACCACACAGAAAGACTATTGGTTGAAGCCAAGGAGGCAATGCTAAAGTGAGTTGATTTCATCAAACAAAATGCCAATCCCAGCCACTGTTTGATTTTTCACCAAATTGAAACAGGAAAGGACTTGTCTCTGGAGAGGCGGTCAGATGGATTAACCACTAGCATCCCTTTCAACTCTAGGAATCTTTTGACTCATGCACTCAACAAACTGAGTGGCTATGTGCCAGCTCACAAAGTAATTTTCAAGAAATAGCCTTTACACAATAGAGCCACCATCTTTGTGAGGACTCTAACACAACGTCAGTTTGGAGCCCCCTTCGTATTACTGCAGCAAATTCAAGGTGAAAAGATTATGGCCAAGTCTGTAACTTACATAATGGAGTTTGAACTTGCACTCATCCTCAATTTCATCTGCACTGTCCTCATCAGAAACTTCTCCTTCTTCTGCATCATCGCCAAGGTGATAAGGCAATTTCTTGCCCTGAAATGCAACAAGATATCCCATTTAAAAAGTGAAAATCTGTTTATAACAGCTTAAATGCAGAAGTGAGCCAAATGTCCACTACTGGCCAAACATCAGGTATAAACACAAAGTGTTATTCACTCTGTAGAAATTCTGATAACATAGATGACCTCTGAGAGCATCATAAGTAAGTGAAGCACATACAGATGCAACAAGGTAAGTGTTTCTGATCCCATTTGAATGAGATACCTAGAAAAATCAGAGACAGAAACTAGAACCATGTTGCCCGAGAAGTGGAATGGGCATCGAGTTTCAGTTTTGCAAGCTGAAAAAAAAAAGGTGGAAATTGGTAACACAATAATGTGACTGAACCATACATTGTAAAATGGTTTTGTTTGTAGATAGATTTTTGTTAAGCCTTTTTTACCACAAATTATTGTTACAAGTGCAAAGAAAAACGGAATATCTTACGGCTAACCAAATCCTCAAATTGCCAGAAGAAAGATCAAATGAACAAAATAAAGAGATTTGAAAAAAAGAATAGAAAAAGGGGTAGTCTTATTACTTTCAATAAAATATAGTTAATTAGGAATATAATTTAAAAAAAAAATACAAACCAGACTTCTTTTCAAGAATATCTGACTCATCACAAGGTCTGAATACTGGTATTCCAAAAGTTCCTGTGCTGGAACCTAGCACTCTGTGTGACAGAATTAAGAGACTGAACTTTGGAACATGAAGGAATCCCCGGGCTACACTGAGGTCCCTACTGCACGCATGCACCATGTGAGGTCACACAGTAGGTGCTGTTCAGCAATCACTGACCCTGCCTGATCTTAACACTTTTCCTCATCCAGAACTGTAAGCAATACATTAGTGGAATCCTGGGAAGAAATACGGTCAATTATAGCAAGCAATTAGTGATAGGTTCTAAGTAACAGTGTTACTAGCAACAGCTGATGTCTCCTTTCCTACATTTTCCAATTTATATTCAAGAAAAGTAAAATTACAACTAAGGGCAGCAGAGGGCAACGCCCAGGGGTCTGGAAAAGGCTTCTTGGGGAGCTAGCAGCATTGGTATTCCTCCTCATCCACAAGCAGAAAGGAATATTAAAGAGGGTGCTGAATTACTGCCTGAATCTACTTAAGGGTGGAGGGCAAAGAAGAGCCAGGCTCTGAGGCCAAGGAGCCACGCCCACTGGGGAGGAGCCTCTAAAATAGCACACCGTGTCTTCGGCCTCCTGGTGCCCATGCCTTTCTGTACTCCTCTCCCTTGATGGAGCTGGGTCTCTCCCCTGTCTCCCTCTTTCCATCCACACCTTCTCCAGGTTTGGGAGCCACTCATCAGAGATACCCACATGGCACAGAACTGAAAGATCTGACTGATGGCTAAATCCCCCATTCTGAGAGACTTTGAGCAGAAGACTCAGCTAATCAACACTGAAGCTCCTAACCTACACAGACTATGAGAAACTGTTTGCTGTTTAGGGCCACTAAATTTGGGAACCATTTGCTATGCCACAATAGATTCCTAGTATAATCGCCAAACAAAATTATGGATTATAACTAAGCCAGTGAAAGTACCACTTCCAGGACAACCAAGCACAGAGCTCATGGGTTCCCACTCTATCACCCACCCAGTGGGTAACAGGAACCACTGCCATCAATGCTGCACTTGGGCCATGAACACATCTGCCACCACCTCCACCACTCCTAACGGGTGCAGCGTGGGGCCCCTTGCCTATTACCTTCAATAGCACCTAGGTAGGATGCCTGTGCCCCAGGATCAGGAAGGGCTGTAAAAACAAATCCACAGGAGACAGTACAGCGGAACAACAGGCAAATCCTCTTCCTTGCAGTACTGTGATCCCATATGCACACCAGTTCATGTCCTGGCAACTTCCCTTCTGATCCAGCTTCCTATAGACTCGGAAGCAGCAGAGCACAGCTCAAGTTCTGGGGACCCTGTACCCACATGGGAGACCCAGAGAAGCTCCTGGCTCCTGATTTCAGATCAGCTCAGTCTGGCCATTGCAGCCGTTTGGGGCGTGAAGGAGCAGATGCAGATCTTACTCGATCTTTCCTTCTCTGTAAACCTACCTTTGTAATCAAAACAAATAAATCTTGTTTTTTAAAATAAATAGAAAATTAAAAAGTAAATCAGAAAAATACAAATGTATAACATGTTAAGATACTGTAAGGGAATTCCCTAAAACGTAAGGATGGATTGAGGGCCAGTGCTGTGGTGAAGTGGGTTAAGCCACTGCCTGTGATGCAGGCATCCCAAAGGAGCACGGCTTGTGACTTGATCCAACTTCCTGGCATTGGCCTGAGGAAAGCAACAGGACATGGCCCTAGGACCTAGGTCCCTAACAGGACTGCTGCTTCCAGCTTCAGCCCAGCCCAACCCCAGCCACCTCAGCCACCTGGAAATGAATCAACTTATGAAATACGCATCTCTTCCCCTCTCTGTGTAGCTCTGACTTTCAAATTAATAAGTAAGACAAAAACATAGGGACACAGAATTCCTAAAACATGGAGAGATGTTCATGTGATTCAAACTCAAACATAACAATCATTTCCAAACATCACCCAAGCCTACTACCCATGCAGATCTCTGAAGTTGAGCCCCTCCTAAACCCCATGCAACTATTACCCCTTCCATATTCTACATTTGCTTCCTATGTATCTCCTCCTTCTACAGGACCTTAACTTTAATCAGAATTTCCGGAAAATCTCCCTCTCAATTTTCCTTTACTTTTAAATAAGCTTTATTTATTTGTTTACGAAGAAGAGTGACTTGGGGGAAGTGGGAGAGGAGATTTCTCCTTCTGCTAGTTTCCTCCCCAAATGCCTGTAACAACCAGAACTTATCAAGCCAAAACGAGGTGCCTAGTCACCCACATGGGTGCTAGGGGCCCAAAGACTCATGGCATCATCTGTTTCCTTCACATGTGCACTAGCAGGAAGCCAGACCAGAAGTAGAGTAGCTCAGACCATATCTGACACTCCAATATGAGATGCAGAATCTCAACCATTTACTTCCCCCACTGTACCACAACTCCTACCAGCCTGGCACTTTAACACCAAGAGCTCCTAGGACTGGAGTTGTGGCATAATGGGTTAAGTAAGCTGCCACCTGCAAGACTGGCATTCCATACTTCAGGTTTCTCTACTTATGATCAAACTCCATGTTAATGTACCAGAGAAAGCAGCAGAAAAAGACTCAAGTCCTTGGGGCCCCATTCCCACATGGGAGACCTAGATGAAGCTCCTGGCATCTGGTTTCAGACTGGCCCAACATTAGCCATTGCAACCATTTAGGGAAAGAGCTAGCAGGCGAAAGATTTCTATCTGGCCCCCAACCTTCTGTGTGTGTGTGACTCTGACTTTCAAAAGAATTCAATATTCTTTAAAAAAAATTGATCGTAGATCCTTAGTACAGTGATGGCTTTAACGTAGCCTAAATAATTTATATAACAAAAACAAAATCTATAGTAATTATCCAATGGGATTTAGGTACTTGAATATTTTCTTCTACCACCAGAGCAGCAGTATTAAGAATTTTTTTTCATTTTATTTGAAAAAGACAGACAGATAATACAGATTTTCCATGCACTGCTTCACTCCCCAAATGCCCACAATAGTAGGTTTGAGCCAGGCTGAAGCCAGGAGCCAAGTACCCAGTCTAGGTTCCCACAGGAGTGGCATCGTCTCAAGTACTTGAGCCATCACCCACTCTCTCCCAGAGTGCACGTCATCAGAAAGCTGGGTTGGAAGCAGAGTAGCTGAGATGAGAACACAGGCCCTTCAACGCAGGATATGGTATCATAAGCAGGGTATTAACCACTACATCAAAGACTCTACCATTTGAAAGATTCAAAAGGTGGATATGAAGCAGACATTCAGCCTAGCAGGTAGATGTCCATACCCATGTGTACTACCTGGGATTCAATACCCAGTTCTACTTCTGACTACAGCTTTCTGCTAATGCAAACCTTGGATAGTGACAGTGATGGCTGAAGTAACTGTCTCCTGTCATTCACACGGTAGACCTCGACTGGGTTGAGTTCAAGGCTTCAGCCAAGGATGTCCCTGTTGGGTTCTGAACCAGTTGGGAGCTCTGCCTCTTGGTTTGCCTCTGCTTTGCAGGTAGGGGTGTGTGTGTGTGTGTGTGTGTGTGTGTGTGTGTGTGTGTGTGTGTGTGTGTGTGTGTGTGTGTGTGTGTGTGTGTGCCTTTCAATAGAAAGCAGTTTAATTTCTTTAAAGGCAAAATCTAATTTGCATGTTACTAATAGCAAGGTTTCTTGAAATTAAGGCATTTATTTCCACAGAGTATTTTAGGTCTTACTGATACAGAAAATTACATCATTTTTCCTTATTTTATGGGTCATTTATAGAGTAACTAAGAGCACCAGAAAGTAGGTACTTAATTAAAATATGACTGAAAGATAGTCAAAAATAAGAAAGTCAAGATATCAACCATTCCTTTACTCACCCCCAGCTACTGATTCAGTCAACTGTTAGGGCTATAACAGCAGATACCAATAAGGTCCTCTACACAACAGGCTTGAAATTTATTGAAAAGTCATTCCCTCTTTTTTCAAAAAAAAAAAAAAAGTAAGCACACAGAGATGTCATCCACTGTACCACTCCCTAAATGTCATGGCAAAGCCAAGGAATTCAGCTGAGGTCTCATACACATGTGCAGCAGGGTCCAACTGCTTGCTGCCTCCCAGAATTGGCTTCAGCAGGAAGCTAGATCCAGGAGCCAGAGCCAGGAACTCAACAGAGGCCTCTCACTTGGGAAGTGGACATCTTAACTTCATGTCTTGTTAGGCCAAACAACCACCTGGGGTTGTTTTGAAACAGATTCAAGGGGGAGGAGTAGGGGAAAATCCCAGTGCCTAAAACACTGTGTCACATAATACAATGTAATAATTTAAAAAAAAAACAGATTCAAAAGGAATAGTGTTTCCAAATGTTCATAAAAGAGTAACCAAACATGAAAAATAATATCACTAAGTAAGAAACAATAACCCTTACATGGTAAAAATGGGTCCAACATGCTATGGCTTGGATTGGATGTAGTTCTCCTATGGCCCCTTGGTAGTTCTTCAGCATGCAGAGCAAGCCACCCTGCCTCTCCCACCTCTCTCTTCTTCCTGGCTTAATATGGGACCATTTGCCACTGTCTCAGGCTCCCCAAACTGCCAACCACCATCTGCCACCGGCCATGGGGCTCTCACCAGCTGCCACGCTTTCGATGATCCTACACTGTGTGTTATAAATCTTATCCTTTATTAATAACCTGCAGCAAGTACTTCTGAGTATAAGATGGCTTACACGATACCTCAGGTTGGAAAGGGAAAATGACCGTAATGACCAGATGACGGTAAAGGGACAAAGCAGCAACACTGAACTTGATTCTCCTTTAGGCAATGTGGCAAAAAGAAGGGAATAAAAAACAGAAAGCAAGAAACCCGCATACGCTCTGCTTTTAAGGTCTAGTTAAGGGCTTTACATCATATGGATCATACTTTCAGCCAGAATTTCCCTGGCTCTCAAAAATACTTTGCCAAGGTAGTAGACAGAAAAGCAATATGACAGCACACTTTGTCAATAACTTTACCCTTAAGGAAAAGTAAAGAGCAAGTTTAGGTAGAATCATGTGACTTAATGGATTTTAGCCACAGTACAGTATAGAGGTAAGCAAAGAATAATGCAGGTATCTTCGGGTGAGGGGTGGTCTGCTTCTGATTTGCCCTCTGGAATTCTGTGAGTTCATTCTTAGTGAATGGAAATAATGCTAACAGTCAGCTTCAAGTTTTCTGCCACATGGCTCCGGAAGACGGACAGCGGCTCTGTGGTTCACATCTGTAGAAGTAAGAGCCTCAGATGACACAGTCAGGGCTACCATCTGTGTGTGTTGTTAAGTCTGTTATTACTTTAGTTCATAAGCAAGCTTTTATTCATTTTTCAGAAGATTTATATACCAGGGTACCACCCTTGAAAAATAGTTAAAAACATAAATTTGTGTAATTTTCATAATACATGGAAAATGCAAATGAGAAAAACTGCACATAGATTTCAAATTTTTTCAGCGCTAAGATAAAGTCATACTTTTAATTCCATTTTCCAAAACTTGTTTTGAGTTGTATGATAAAAACATATGCGTACATAGTTGAAAAGTACATAATAGCTACAGTAAATATTCTGCCCATCTTCCAGGTACTAGTCATTCAAACGCAGTGTTTGCTATTTGTTTTTTTCTTTTTGGCAGTAGAGTTTGTTCTGCTGTGAAAGGAGCACTTGAAAGCATTTTCCTTGTTTTGCTTTAAATGTAAGTATGCTCATCCATAGAACCAGACAATCTACTTACAGTTCAAAGACCACCATCACTAGTCAATGGATCTTAGGGCCTGGAAACAGCAGCCTATGCACCTGCCTCCCCTTTCAGTGAGTGCCTGAGACCTTCTGGCTTACTCACCCTGGGACCCACAGGCCCCTGGCATAGTCTGCAACAAATGACCCAATCTCAGTTACGCAGAAGGGACAAGTTCACATCAGGTACCCACTTTAAGTTCCTCTGTCCAGACAGGAAATATTCTAATCGAAAGGACCTTCTCTGTATTACACGTCTTGGTTTCTCGCTAAAGAGTATTTAGAAAAACAGAAAACACAAGGCTACAATGGTGACATTTCATCTTCTAGGAATCTGAGTTTCTAAAAATTGAGCTTTTACCATAGTAGTTTGCATTTAGCATGACTGGATAAATGGACCTTGATGTTACCTCTTGCATTGCTTGAAGTGTTCATTCAAAGTGCTTACATACATACAAATGGTTGACACCACCTTTTGGGTGGACTCAAAATCCATCTTTTTCAACTGATGCAAAAACAGACTTTAACAAATAATAAAAATGAATGCTTTACTTTTTCTCACATGGCATACACCATGAAAACTTGTTATGCAATGACATAGTTTCTCTAACTTTCTTCTCTCTATATGATTTTTCATACATCCTCTTTAACTAAGATACAAACCTGTGTATTAGTTCATATTTTACTGCTTATAATGAGATACCTAAGGCAGGTACTTTATAAAGAGTTTCACTAAATTCAGTCTTGGAGCCTAGAAAGTCAAGCTTCATGGTCCAGGTGATTGAAAGAGCCTCCTCTTATTTGCATCATGTCTTAGCAGAACCACCTGTGTAATTATGCGCTGGTGTGGCCTCCCGTGCTCTTATAAAACCATCAGAATTCAATCATCAACATGCTACCCTAGCCACCTTATTACTCTCCAAAGACCCACATCCAAGCAGCTTGGTAGGATTGAGTCCAATACCACAACATATGACTTTCTAAACATTAAAGTCACACATGCGTTTAGGAGAACAAATCATATTTCAACCACAACACCCAGTTTGAATATTAATTCCTTATTGCTCCAGTTTACATCCTTAATCTCAAAACATTGCAACCATGCCAGGTGGATTCAATCCAAACCATGCCAGGTGGAATGGACAGGAATTAACTGAAATCACAAAAGCGAACTGAAAACTCAAGGAGCTATTTTTTGGCTATTCTTTGCATTGATAATATTCACTCGGAATATTTGTGAAATGCTATTCTGCCGACTTTCTGCTCCCTTGCAGGTGCATGAGTCCTGTGGGGCATTACGTCTGTGCCTCTGTTACTCTTTGAAGCAAACTCTTCTCACTCATATAACCAAGGCTGATCAACCATGACGACTTATATTTTTGAACAGACAGTTATTGGAGCTTGAAATAGGAGAAAAGAATCTGAAAGCCATGTTGTCAGAGAAGGACACACCTCACACAGCTACACACTCCTTCCTCTGCCAGGGGGACCTGATACAGTCTAGCAAATTAAACGTTAGTTTAATCCACTACCGTGTTGATGTTGTTATCTCCAAAACAAAATGGGAAGATGTGTGCTCAGATAGAAATCAGCCTCCCAGGAAGGCATGAATATAAATACATTAAATAAGATGCACAAGCAGATGGAGACCTTGCTTCATGCCCAGAGTCAAATTATTATTCTTTTAAGCTAACCGTTAGTGTTTAAGGGAGGGCAGGCTTGGGTGATCACTAATGCCCCCCTCCCCTTCCTGAGATAATTACCTTCACCAGGATCTTGCCTTTCAAGCTCTGAGGGCTTGGGAGCTGCTTGTACTCTCCTGTGTCTATGGAAGACAGGTCCAGTTTGTCTTGGAATATTCCTTTCAGGTACTGAGCAATCTTCCTTTGCTGCTGAATACTGCAGTGGTTCTCAATAGACAATATGACCGGGAACCTGGGAAAGCAGTAACACAGTGCAGAGGCTTCAGGCACGGCAACCCACTGGGATTCACAAAATGGTTTCACAGCCTGACAGTCCTCATGACAGTATTTGCAGTAATGGCAATGATTAAAATAATCCAAAATGAGAATGATTAGAGATGTACTTAAAAATTCCTCTGAGAAAATTTACTTTGATGGGCATAACAATAGAACAAAATATCAATCCATGGGAAATGACTTAGTGTACTATTTAACACGAAGGGGAAAATGGCAGGTCCAGTATGTGTCTTCTAAAAAGGAAAAGTTAAGAAAAAAAAAGAAGCCTAAAAAAGCACACTCATATAATGTAATCTTGTCTTATTTATCCTAAAGACTAGAAGCATCTCAGAACCACTGACTATCATGAATGTAGTTACTTACTATACAAAAATACCTAATCGGCTCTCAGCTTGAATACTATGCAGGACAAAATAGCAGAATGGGATTGGGTGTCACCTACTGTCCTATGTCTGACATTTCATAATCATTTCTTTATTGAATTCTATGCTTACTTTTAAAAAAAAAACATGTATTCACTCTAAATCAGCTCTTACATTTGCATACAGAGAATTGGAGACATGAAGTGGCTGCCCAAAGCCAGCCTGAAAAATTGACAAGTTACATAAGAAATCAGGGAAGACCATGTGATGCTGTTCCTTTTTCAACTTTGATTTCTCATTCAGAGTAACAAATTCTTTCAAATTCAGATTTATTATCACCCCCTAATTTATTATCATATATATTCAGAAATAATAGAGAATGCATTCTTCCTATACAACAAAGACCAATATGTGAACTCAATAACCAGATGTGGAGAAAAAAAATTCTGTCTGGCTTTCATGACAAGTACAGGTTCCACAATATGGTTATTACCTTTTAAAATTACCTTCAGTCTTTATTAATAAAGCCTACTTCTAGAAGTTAATATTAGGAATGACTTTTGCAATGGGAGTTGGTTTAACTCACCTCAACCTGTGTACTGCTTGTTTCTTAGTGTGGATTTTACCCTAGCATGCTAGGGAAAAAAAAAAAAAAAACCTCTCACCCTGAGGTACCTTGCAATCACGTTGGGAGCTTTCATGCATTTTTAAATTATCAATCTTTTCATTAAAAACCTGCTAGTGTCTGAGGATATTCAGCATAAATACGTGCTTCTCAAGAGGAAAGAGAACCAATCTGCACGTCCCGGGCACATTTTTCAATACCTGAAGACATTTTTGGTGGTAACAGTTCAGAGAACGTCACTGGCTTTAGGTGAATGGAAGCTGAGAACAATGCTAACTGGCCTACGATGCACAAGAGAGCTCCCTGCAATCACGGCCACAAACACTACGGGCCCCAAGTCTACTCACCGGAGAGAAAGCAGGATGCAAAGCTGAAACTCAAACTGAATAAAAAAATGACAAAACTTCTAAAAATGTACCAAACAAGCGTGTTAACTGTCTTAATTTAAACAGAATCAGAATTCAATATTTACAATTCTCCCACACAGAACGCATCATAAATTAACCTGTCATACAGCAAGTGTCTCTTATTAAAACAGCGTTTTAACTTCATTATTAATGAGACCAACTATTAAAATTTTTAAAGTGTATTAACTTCTTAAAAATTAATTTTAATTTGTTGCTTTAATTCAAAATTTTTTCTCAAATGTTTCCTATATTGCATGGAGCATACAGGCAACAAAGAATGAATAAGAAATGAACAAAATATAGCTTGCTATTTTCAATCAGTTCACAAGACTACAGATTTAGAAGAAGGCACGTAACCTGCAATTGTTATAGGTTGCTATGTGACAGAAATATGCTCTGGATGCTAAATACAGAGAAAAGGGAAAATTCAAATCAGCTGGCAGTATCATTAAGTTTGTTAAAATAATAACACATAAATACTCATGCATTCTACGCACAAACTAGGCAGGTGAAAAGATGGGAGGAAACACACCAGGCAAAGAGAACAGCACACAAGAGAACACGGAGTTGTGAAACAGTGGGCTTCACTGAAATGGGCAAAAGACAGAATCATCAGGACGTACCCTAAGGCTGTGCTGCAACAGAAAAAGACACCGGAAGGAAAAAGCAAGCCAGATCTTGAGGGTCATGGCAGTTCTGCCTGTGTGTTATAGGGGATTTTGAAGGAACTTAAGACAGGAATTACAACACCAGGGTTATATCTCATAAAGAAATCATTAGCATCAGTGTGGAGGAAGAAAAGGGAGAAAATGTAAAGGCGACAATGGAATATAAAGATAATTTACAAAGAAAAGTCAACAAGACTTGGTTGAATCTAGACTAATTCTGAATTTCCAGCAGCAGCCACCAGGAGACAATACTGCCCCTAAGCAAAAGGAGATAGAACATAAGAAAACTAAAGGTTTGATGCAATGGGACGTTGAGTTCAGTTCAGGCCGTAAGCACCATTCTGGCAAACATCTCATCTCCTGTTCAGTGCCGCGGCTGCTTGCACCCGTAGTAAACTCAGACATTTGCAATGTAGGTCAAGGACTTAGAGACAAGTCCTGGATAATTAAATATCCATGAAATAGACCAAGGGAAATACCTTATGCAATAACAACTACTAAAGGACTAAGAACATGGAATAAAAAACCACAAGCAAAAAACATTAATAGAAATAAGCCATGACAGTAACAGAGGATAAAATGTTATAATAGAAGCAAAAAAAGCCAAGTATTAGGGAAGAGACAATACATTTTATTGAATGCCAAGGAGAGGTCAAGTAATCCAAGGATGTCACAAACTTCAAGATACAAAGGACATCCATCAAGTCTGGAAACTTAGGTAATATTATCTTACTGCTGTATCACATAATACCAAACACCATTATGCCTCCAGACATTTTATATACCCTATACCCAGGAAGGGTAACCCTATACCCAGGGTTTCAAACTTTAATGTCACTCCAAGAATGTCTTCAAGGTGACAGGATGGAAATGAATGGGATGAGGAATACATGGAGCATGGAAATGTACAAAACATGGAACCTACATCATTCGTTCACGTTGTTATGCTGAGTCGAAAGGAGAAAGCCAGCGTTGTACAAAAGGATAGGTAAAATCCGAGTAAGAGCATGTGGTGTGTAGCCAGGTTAGTTAGGCAATGCTCCCTGTGCTGCTGGACAGCTGTACCATCAGGCACTGCTTTACTTACTCATTCTTCACGAAGGCATGCTTGTTAATGGTCTCCACAACATCCCTGAAGAGAATCTTTGAAGTGAGAGTATAGCCATGGTGCACCACTGGCTCTCCATCTGGGCCATCCCAACAGTCAACTGCCAAAAAACAGAGTTCCAATCAACAACCCAAAGTCTTTTGCATTTATTACTATTTCTGGAGCTACTAGACACACATTATTTTTCAGTTAACTAGTTGAAATTATACCTATCATAATGTGATAGAGACATCAAAGTAATTCTTCAGTAGAATAAGGAGGTCGTGTTAATAGATGATTTGCCTCTGAATGCTTACCATGATCAAAAATGTCTTACTCGAAATTAATCTGTTTTCCAAACAGCCTGTTTAGACACTGATCTAAGTCCTACCAAGTGTGCAGAAAGATGTGATATTTCTAACAGGGTTTTTTTTTTTTTCTCCAAGCTCACTTTTTCAGGTTTCAGAAATCCTTTAGTAAGCCACAGTGTCCTTCCCCAGTCCTTAGCAGGGCTTTTCATTACTGCTCAATTAAACCCACCATTTCCATTAGATTTATTTCAACTGGTTAATTTACAATAGTTACAAAATAACATCAACACCCAAGTACAAACCCTAAGGCTCTGCAAAGACTTATGTGAATATGAAGAAATAATCTAATTACTCAAACTTGTTCCTCTGGTTAAACAATTTTGCTCACATCCAATCCTACCTAAATGCCTTTGCTTCTTTCATCTAAAGTCAACGGAAACATTTACCTTTCATTTTATTCATCTAAATCCCAGTCAGAGCTAAAGTGGATGCCAATCTATATGATCTATGTTCCATAGAGCAGAGAGTCACACATGCAGAAGAGTCTAGCAGTTAACATAACAAACAGGTATCTAACTGACGTAACTACTTCTCAGTGACAGGTCTTCTGAGAAAACTAAAACTCTAGATTTTATTGCAAGGTATTATTTTCACAATTTTTAAATACTGCCAATTAACCTACTTTTTAAAATACAATATGGGCCAACCATAAACAATTCCGTAGCCTACATTTGTCTAATAGGATATAGACTGAAAATTTGTCTTTAATTAAAATCACAGTGTTCAGAAGCATTTGTCTCTTCTCTTTCAGGAGCACCTTTCCTAGAGCTGTATTCTGTATGTTATTCCCAAGAGATGATACTCACACTTCTTTCTAAAACTTTCCTTTATTTATTTGAGAGGCATAGAAACAGACATAGCTTCTGTGCTGTGGTTCACCTCAACAAATGCTCAGAACATCCAAGACTGGACCAAGACTGAAGCCAGGAGCACACAACTCAACCCACGTCTTCCACAGAGGTGGCGGGGACCAAAGAACTTGAGTCATCGCCTGCTGCCTCCCAGATCTGTATTCGCAGGAAGTCAGAAGCTGAAGGCTCCTATCAAACCCAGGCACTCCAATATGAGATGTGAATATGTAAGTGCCAGGACAAATGTCTGCCCGCTCTCCAAAACTTTCAAAATGTTCACCACAACCAGAGAGGATTACAACACTCCTTAACAGCACTGGTATTTGACCTGAAGCATTCATGGTCAAGTTCAAATTACAGTGATGCCTCCTGAAACAGACAATGCTGTGCTGGCAACATTGGCAAGGTAGAACTCTTCTAACCAATGCCTGTAACCACGAAAGAGCCAAGGTTTGTTTTTTTTTCAATCAGGTCACACACTAGAGGCTTCAGAAGGCAATCTGACAAAAAAAAAAAAAAAAAAAAAAAGTCAGTCTGAAGGGCAGGCAGCAAACCTGGCGGCTTCTCATAATGGAACTTAAAGATGTTCCAAGCTGGTAGTGCTCCCAGAGATAACAGGAAAAAGTTGTAAAGCGATTACAACAGCAATGTGACATCAGTTCCATAATGAAAGCGAAAATCCCCAGAACAGAACATCCATATTTATTAAGCAACTCAGGCTGAAAATCAAGTGCGTGAAAAGCCATGTACAAGGTGTTATCAATTTGATTGCCTGACAAGCCCACCTCACCAGAAAGTCTTGTTAGTTTTCCCCAGCACACCATATATCCTGACTGAAGACCACAGCTGAACTAATGAAGACGGAAAGCACAACATCATCAAAACGGAAGCTTAAAACTGCAGAGTCTTCAGGTCACAATACCATGAAAAACAAAAATGTTTCAAATCATTATTCTCCATTTCTTATGTGCAATACTTGACAAAAGATTCCTTCAAAAAATATCTATGGGATCCAACATTTTCAATTCATGACCTACTACAGTCTATATGTCAAGTTCTTTAAATCCTGGCTATAGTGGCTTAAGAACAGAAGCAACTTCATTGGGATTCAAGACAGTTAAAGTACCGGTGAGTACATACACATTACTTCTACGTGCTCAAGCTCCAAATGTGAACTAAGAACTTCCAATCACAGGGCTGATAGAATGTTAGGAGATGATAAAAAGATCATATCACTAAATTCTAAGCCTTCAGATACATGTAAATATTTGGTGGTAGGCATAATCAGGAAGGAAAAAAATCCCCCTTTCAAAGCTAACCTCAGGGTGGGTGTTACAGCCCTGTCACCAAGTGCTGTCCTTGTTTGGGGAGTGAATCAACAAATGGAAGATGCAACAATCGCTCTCTCACCCACACTCCTCGACTCTCTCTGTGCTGCCCCTGCCTTTCAGAAAAATAAATGCTTAAGAAATAGGAAGCCAACCTCCCCTTTGCACTGTGCTTCTCGCTTTCTCTTGCTGTCTTCATGTGATCTGACAGCCTCATTCAGTACCTCTTATGGAACCTGACAGATCTCATCAGATCCCTCCTAGTACAGCTCATGCCATTCAATGCTTGCTCCTCCAGAAAGCCTACAGACTGCCTGGACAAGAGGGAAGTTGGAAAGTATGGCTAATGTGATCTCCAATCTCAACTTATAAAACTCCTACCAAAAAAAAAATCTTCTGAATTGAAGCTGCCTCTCAAGAGGAGATTGCTCTTAATTTCTGGAAGGTACTGCTAGAATTAAATGAGGATAGAAAGGAAGTATGTAGCAAGATGCTGGCACACAGAAGGCCTGGAATCCTAACAGTTCCTCTTGGCCCTCTTACCATCTATTCAACCCAACCAAATGATCCAAAACAAAAAAATGTACAAACCTTACCAAGATTTCCAGATAAGTATAATTCTTCTCAACCAAAAAGCTCCAAATATAATCTTGTTTTAGTGCTAATCTATAGTTCACACTAATAGAGACTAAGCCAAGTAGCAGGGGAGGAAGTTGCTGATGCAAGTTGATGAGGGAGATACTTGGAATCTGACAGAAATCACATATCCTTTAAAATTACACCATAGCTGTGTACCTTCTGTCTGTATGAATATGTGGAGCAGACAAAGAGATAACTGGACCTCTTAACACCCCCAACGTAATGCTGGAGGATCAGAAGTTTAGGCTCCAAACTAGATGACGATCACACAAACAAGCTGGGCTAAGTTTAGGCCAAGTAAACCAAAACTGCAACAAATATCTAAAGGACTTCAACATCAAAATATTTTTTTTCCAGAGGAAACAGAAATAAGAAACTTACAAAACTGTCCAGAACTAACTATCTCTCCAGAGTCAGCAAAGGTTATTTTCCATACTTGGCCTCCAAGAAAATGTCACCAGTTAAAATCACAATCAGTGTGAACCCAAGGAGGCTGCATGTCCACGGCAGCCCTGAGCATGCCAGCCGTGCAAAACTTGTCGAGTGTGAGTAAACAAATGGCTGCATAATGACTGAGAGCAGAATGCCACCTTCCAGACCTTTGGCAGTCTGCAAGGTTTTAACTCACGTTAATATTTTATAAGTATCTTCATTACTTAGTTGCTTAGGCTATTCAATTATTAGGAACTTTTGTTAGTCTGTATTCTTCACAACTACTGAAAAATTACCGTCTTAAGCCATTATCCCACAACAGAGGAGCCAGAGAGGATTATGATTTAAGAATTCTTTTACAATGAGTAGAAAGGTAGTTCTGATTAGCATGGGATCACTTTCTGAAGCATCTGTTATTTCTGTTAGACTAGTCTGACTGATTTAAGAACTGCATTGGAACCTGGAAGAAGAGTCCATACCCTCCACACAGCGACAGCCCTCTTGTAGCACCCGTGCATACATATCCACTTTGGACTGGGAAAGGAGCTGGTCCCCTGTCAGGTAGGTATTGTGGGAGGAAGCAATGTAGTAATTACAGAGGGGCTGATCCATGTCTTGGTACACCTCGTGGTGCAGTGGGTTAAAGACGTCGCAGGCAGGACTGCGCATGAAGTTGGTAAAGCCTTTGGAAGAAGAAAAGAAGGAAGCCCATTAGCTTTCAAAGCACATCCATTTAATTGACTCCAACAGAGGCCAAAAAGCCAAAGAACGCTCATAGCAATCATGTCGTTCATCTTCAGGACAGCTTTCGTCGGGGAAACTGGGACAATGAGAGATTTGCTTGAGGTCAATATCAAAAGCTAGAAATGTGATCTTGGGGAAGCAACCATTTAAACATATCCTAAAGAAAACTACATGGACACAGACTTTGCAAGGATTCTGATGAGGCGGAAGACACAGCATGACCTCATGAATGGCTCATGACAGTGCTGTGATCACAACTGGTAGGTTATTAAGCTGATTTGAAAAACACTTTAGTCAATTCTGTAGTTCAAGTTGCATGTAAAAAGTTAAGCACTGTCTAAATTCAGGAGGTGATTATTTATGAAACTGATTTAGGAAAATGCTATTATCAACTGGCATACATTATAATTTTTAGAGTTACTTAAAAATTATGTAGGAAATGTATCAGATTTTCTAATCTTTCAGAACACAATGCCTGCATTGAAAAGGCATTCATAAATACATGAATACATGCATGAATGACTCACACAAGTACCTAAATAGAATAATTATTAGGGTAGGTTGTTTCAAGTCTTCAAGAATCATTTGGTGAAAATATATCTACCAAATATCCTCAGGTTTAGGAATTTCTTTATGCTCACCTTTATGTCCATACCTTAGAAGCTAGGCTTAATTTCATCTTGGGGGCCCCACCATGGAAAGCACCTCTAAATGCAGAAAAGGCCCAAGTTTCTTTACCATGTCTTGTTGTTTTTAAAATGATTTTTAATGACAGAAGAAAATTATTCCTTGCCATTTTAATTGCCTTCATGCCAAGAAGTACATATATAGTATTAAAATCCTCTTGACCATGCCAGTGATGAGGGCAAAGCAAAATGGGAGGCCAAAACCCAAGCCTGCTGAGAACACCAAGGGCTTTGGATGCTGTTGGGCACAGCAGGGCTCCCCAGTGGCTTTCCATTAAAACTATTTTGCCTGGAATTGTCTCAGGTAGCAGCCTGTAATTTATTTTCTTAAATACCTGAAATATATGTAACTTATATATGCTTACAGCTATATTTAGTCATTATTTATATCTAGATTCTGAATATATAGCTGTGGGCATATTATGTAATTCCTTTGAGTCTAACTTTCCTCAACCACAACATGAGATGGTTCTATCATCTGTTGTTCCAACAGTGTCTCCAGTAACACCAACCGGGAGAAATACAAGCCAACTGCTAACATTTCTATACAGAAGAAAAAAACACTCACATTTTCTTTCAAGTCATCAGTTTCATGGATAACTGATTTTAGAAACAATTTCTTCCTCATGATTATTTGAATGAAGCTGTTTCCAAATATTAGTCATTTAAGAGGAGCTCAAGCATCCCTTGGTGTCCTCTACACATAATGGTGTCAAGTTGACTTGCTTGCAGTAGCAAATACTCAGAGACACTGCCAGAGGAACAGCGAGAGCAGGACATGTGTGTGGGGTGGGGTGATGGTGTATAATCCCATGGCTTTCTCCTGATTCTTCCCTAAACACCTGCAGAATTGAGCTTAGCACACTGTACTCAGGAAATGAGAAACTGAGAGCATTACCTTCTATGCCAAGAACATTTTTCACCTTATTTTCTTCTGAAACTTCAAACTTCTTTATGATGTCAAGACAATAGTCTGTCGTCACATTATTCATCTAAATAAAACAGAACATAGTACAGCATCTGCAATTTCACATTTTCCTACATTAAAAAAAGTGATTTCTAAAACATTTTTAATATTCTGCAAAGTATTCAAATGTTCAGTGTTTGAGATTACCAGTGTCATCGTTACATTATCTTTGGGAAATTATCATGACCTCATTCTTTCTATGTATCTTTTATATCAAATCAGTAAAAACAGCTTTTCAAGTATTAGCTAAGTATTCTTCAGAAAGTCATAAAATAAACTATAAAACCAATGACCAAGGCAATTCATTGCTAAAAGTCTACACACTGTAGCTCATGGCTAACTGGAAACTTGATGCTTTCTACATTGGTACTAGAGTTGGCTAATTATTAATATATGTGGAAATAAAATAAGCCAGGGCTGGTATCATGACACAGTAAGTTAAACCCTTGCCATTCCACATGGGCTGCACACAGTTATTCCACTTTAAAACCGGATCCTTGTGAATGCAACTAGGAAAAGCAGTGGCAGACAGCCCAAGTGTCTGGACTGCTGTTATCCACATAAGCAATCCAGAAGAAGCTCCTGCTCCTGGCTATGGCCTGACTCAACCCGGCATACTGTGACCATCTGGTTAGTGGACCAACAGAGAGATGCTCTGTCACTTTCCCTGTAACAATTTCAAATACATAAGTAAATCTTTTTTTAAAAAAAAGATTTCCCTACTAAACAGAATTTATGGAGCTCCACCTTTGTATGTATACATATTTATAGAACGTAATCTGCCATTGTGTTCCAGAAACTCAAAGCTTAGCGAAAATTAAAATAACAAACTGGGTAGGACAAGTTACTCCTAAGACACACAGCTGGTGTTCCAACAGCTCGCTCCTATGAACAGAAATGACTTCAAGTGAGTTACTTATCTTCCCCACAGCTACCAAGCACGACAGTGATGCAGATTAAGTGAATGGCTATGTTTAAGAATACTGTAAAAAAGAAATATATGCTACTATTATTGAGTCAGCCTCAATGTTGCTGTATGAACATAATGTACTTAGTGTCACTGAAAAAAGTTAACTATTCAGGAATATTTTAACAACATTAAAATAGGGTATTTTGATCAGTAAGCACTTCAGCCCCACAATCTAACAGTAATACTTAAAAAATCAATGAATAATGATGGAAGAAGCTAATCTTGTGAGCTAGTAGTTCACATTTCAATTGCATTTTCTCAAAAGATTCCATTATCTCTTAGGTTCAACACTTAGGTTTTAGTGAAATCTTATTTTTCTGAACAGTCTACTGAATAGCATTTAAGGTTTTTGCCAGTGAAAAAGCTGTTACATGGTTGCTTTCTTGTCATGTTCGAAAAGCATTTGATGCTCCTTTAAATTTAAAAAGTTGCATAACTGAAAATTTCATCATCTTTATTCAGAAGTCCAATTATTCAATATTACAGGAAATATCATAAATAAATGAAACAGATTCTTTCAAGGAACTTTGCTCACCCGGGCAAGCTTTGGGCAGTTTATTAATTTTCTGCCAAAGGCTAGAGAGCATTTGTATATGCTATCTAAAGGATCACAAAAGAACCAAACTGATAATAACTTTACATGCTAGATACGACTAAACTCCTTTTGCGATTTTAATATTTTTAAATAGAACTTAATTTTACATAAGCAGAAGAATGAGAGAGAGAGAAGATTCATCTCCTGGTTAATTCCCCATGCCCACCCTGCACTGTGGCCACAATAGCTGAGGCTGGACCAAGCAGAAGCCAGGAGTCCAGAACTCCATGGTGGTCTCCAGCATGGATGACAGGAACTTATTTCAGATAGCATCTACTGCTTTCCAGGCACAATAGCAGAAAGTTGTGCTGAAAGCAGAGAGGCGAATAAAATAAGATTCAGCTACGCCAAGCAGTGAGTCCACCCACTGAAACTCAATGCCTGCCCAAGTATTTGACTTACAAGATGACTTGTTTAAAGATATAGGAGCTTTGGATTGAACTGAAACAACAAGGATCCTATGAGATCTCAAAACAAAAACAAACCAACAAGTTCAAACTGGGGTATAGTCAATTCCAGGTGAATATCTATTTAGTTAGAATAAATGAAAACACTAAGCACAATTTGGCAGCAAGAACAAAAAATAATTATAGCTATAAAACATTTAGTTAGTGGAAACATTAGTAAACATTCCACAATGCTCAGAAATTTCTACACATGTAAGAATTTATGGGAAAGAAATAACCTATGTTTACCAAACTATGAAGGCTTGACTCTTAGAAAATCTAGTCAAACTTCATAACAATGGGAACTGAAATGTTGCTCTATCCTTTCTCATCCTTCCTCCATCTCTTCTCATCTCTCAACAGCAGATTTCAACATTTTGTAGACTTTTTTGCATCTCAAGCTTATTACATGAGTGAAAGTGCAACAGTTGTTACTGCTATTGTACTTTGCCACTTGCTTTGCTTCCTGCTTGATATAACCCACAATGTGAAACAGTGACAATGTATCTATTCCACCTTTATTTGCTATTGTTCTCATTAGAAAGTTTTATTGGCTATAAAATAAATGACCCACCTGCCATCTACAACAGTAAGGATTTATTTTTCTACTGTAGCCAGCAGGTACAAAAACAAGCAAACAAGGGAAAAAAAAAAAAGCGGTGGGGAGAGTGGCAGCAGAGTGGTATAACCTGCTAGCTTGATAGTCCTCTGCCTGTGGTGTGAGCATCCCATATGGATGCCAATTCATGTCCTGGCTACTGCACTTCCATCTCCTTGCTAATGGCCTGGGAAAGCAGTGGAGGAGAGCCCGGGGCCTTGGGACCCTGAATCCACATGGATGACTAGGAAAAACCTCCTGGCTTCCAGCTGCAAAGCAGCCCAGTTGTAGTCATTGGTCATTCCGGAGGTGATTCAGTAGGTGGAACATCTCTCTGTCTCCCCGTTTCTGTCTCTCAGTAACTCTTTCAAGTTAAACTAATAAATCTGGTACCACAGTAGTGAATGGAGAGTGGCTATGAACAACAGCCCCAGCCAAACAATGACAGCAAATATCTGGGCGAATGGAGACTCTACCGTCGATTGTGTCAGCCAATGGACATTGGAAGGGATTACTCATCCACAGATTGGCGAAATCGGCAGCATTTCAGTACTATCACATCCACCTGAGCAGAACCTTAGAAGTGTGCACCACACTGTGACCCTGAGATGATATCAGATGCCGGTTCCCCATCCTTGGGTACTGGGATTTGGAGGCTGGTATAGCCTAACCCTTTATCTATCACCCCGCTCTTTTTCCCCTTCTTGGAAAGAAGATATAGAAAGTTTGGGAACAATGATCACATCCACTTCTCCCTAACCCTAGACCCTTCTTCCCACCCTAACCAATTATGTAAACATAATCTAAAATAATTTTGAAAAAGAGTATTAAAAAAGGCAAAAAGAGTTTTAAATAAAGCAATATATTTTAATGGCTCTTTATATTTAATATCCTCAATGTTGTACAATAAAAAGCTTTCAGACACTTAAAATAGTGTTCACAATAGTCTTATGAATTTGTCATTTAGAGAGAAGTGTTGACATTGACCAAAGTTAAACATTGTCACCAAAGTCAAAACAAAATGCAGTTCTTTGTGGCTAAATGGGCACAACTGGAAACTATAATGCTAAGGGAAATGAGCGAATCCCAAAAGATTAGATACCACATGTTTGCCTTGATTTAACCTGTAATTTTTTGTTTGGTTGTTTGTTATTTTTTGAACCTGTCATTGATACTGTCTCAACCCAGATGTTTCGAAGAATGGAACTTGCATTATTTTTAACATATTGTTTACCCAATACTATGTCAATTAATTCCATAATGTTGTATAATGATACTGAGGCCTTGTTGGGGCTTTTAACTGACTGGATCTTTACTCTGTTAGACCTATCTTCAGACCATAGAAGGTCTCCCCAAGAAGCCACTGAACTTATCTGGACAATAAGACGCTGAACTTTATGCTAGGCATGTGTTTGCAAGCAATGAATCTCAACTGAACTTGAACTATGGTTATGCAACAAGGTGGAGGAATCCACCATGGGGGGAGGGGTATGGGAGGGGTGGGGGGGATCCCCAGCGCCTATAAAACTGTACTACATAATATAATGTAAGCAACAATAAAAAAAAAAAAAAAAAGATTTGGGCCACAAAAAAAAAAAAAAAAACCTTGAAGAGCAGTCAGGATCTAAACTTGAACCTTCCTCATGTCAATTCAAAGTCCTTTCTTTTATGTTATTCCTAGTGATTTTTATTACTGCCACTGAAATTTGTACTTTTAAAAAACCAATCGGTTTTTCAATACAATTGAAATGTCTTCATCTTAGCTTTTGAAATGTCTATGATTTATATCAGCACTTATGTTTCTCTTCTTTTATCATTCAAGATTGGACTCCATTCTCGTTTCCTTTCTTACCATGGTTCTTTAAGCTCATCCAGCAAGTCACCAGTCCTCACTCTAAAGGCCCACCCAGGGCCTCACACTATCTCCTATCCCCAAGTCCCTATAAATTTTCAAGCAAAATATTTCTAGTAAGTACAAATTTGGAAACAAAATCAGAGGAATGAACAATTATATTTTAAAGCTATAATTCATAAAATATAGCAAACTCAACATAAAAATATGATTTAGAAAGCTTAACATTGTTAAGTTCTTCAAAATTTGTTTCTAACAAAGTAATAAATAATTAAGTCAAAATTAAGACACTTTAAATAAAAGTAAAAACTCCCTCTTAAAGCCAAAATCATTCTCCTAGTCAACAAAACCAACATTTCTAGATATTTCTTTTGAAATCAGTTTTTTTGTCCTAATAATTGTTTATGCTGTTTTCTAAGACATTAAAAACTACCTTCTTACTGTGCAAAGATTTTATTAAAAGCTCTTTGACGCCAACAAAGCTTTCTCCATCTGCCTGTCCTCACAATAATTCAACTTTAATTTTTAAAAATATAGTAAACTGTGCAAATGTTGAACATTACT